CCCCCCCCCAAAGTATTTGTTTTTAAAAATAATGATTTCACAGATCTAATTTGGAATCAGCACAGCTGAGGGGGCCATAATGAGCGTCTGTAAATTGGATGATAGGAACTTCTTAAACCAGAGCAGCTGCCAAAGGCATCTTAACATGGAGCTTCTGCCGTAACGAAAGACAGCTTGGCAGGCGAGGATCTGCAGCCAAATAGCTGACTCCGGGCTTGTGGTTTCCCACCTGGGTACTGAAATCAGCACTCCTTAGGCCCTGCAGCTTTTAGATGCTTCTGTGTTTAGTGGAGCACCCAGGAGCGGGGAAGGTTTTTGAACGTGAGTAGTCAGGAGGAATAAGCTGTTGTGCATTGCACATCTCAAAACCTTGTATTGTTTTTTAGAGGGCTCGGGCAGGATGGGGAGGGAGAGTTTTGTTGCTGGCATATACAGATGCATTTCCATCCAGACACTGAGTGTTAGCAGCGCAGAGAGAAATATGTGCTTGGGCTTTCAGTGGGAAACAACAACAACAAAAAAATCCTTTCCATTTCTTTCAGCTGGAAAGTGATGCCAGGAGCTGTTGTTTTAGAGAATAAGTCTGGATTTATAAGCCTGCGTGTGAGATACACCTTTGAGCGTGTTATCAAGAAAATCTACGTAGATAAATGCATACCACAGAAAGGAGGTCTTACTGCTGACGGTCACTGTTCAGTGAAAACCGAGCTTGTTGTGGAAATCTCTTTGTTTCTTAAAAAAAAACCCAACCCAAAGCAAAACCAAAGAAAAGAACATCTGTTTGTGTTTAAATATATCTGTGTCTTCTGATTTCATAGTGCCCATTAGAGCGTGTTCAATTTTTCTGGAGTGCCAGAAAAAACGGAACATCTCCAGAAAACGCTGAGGTTATAACACCCAGATAAAACCTGCCTGTGCTACCTTTATAAAGATACTGTCAGCTTAGTCTTGCGGAGAGCAAATGCACTGGTGAACTCGAGGTGGTTGCCAGACTTCTTTCACTTCTTTTTATATGATTTGCCAAGTCCTTAGTTAGCTGGAGGGTGAATATTAAGACAGGCAGCAGCACTGAAAGCTGAGCAGTGGTATGTTGAAAAATTCTGCTTAGGCAAGAGAGAATTAATGTGGGTTTTTTGCAGTGACCACCCTTAGATATACCCTACAGCACTGGCTTGAGCTGGAAGGAAGGATACCTCTGAAAGGATGCTACTGTCCCCTGGGAGTGGGCTGGAACAGTGTCCAGTGAGCCCCTGACACAAAGCTGATGGGTTTGGTTTTGTTGTTTATTAAAGGCAGGCCTTTGTACAGCAGTAATGGAAAATCCTATTTCTGTACCAATAAAAACTTTGCTCCCATGGTTGTTGTTATTGGCAAACTTAGTCACTTTGGTGTTTATGGAAAATTATTTACTGGGAAGGACTGGATGGTTAGCAAGCTTCATCTGCTTTCATTTTGCTTTCATGGCACAGATGTTGCTGTGGGACCTTCTGTTTCATCCCTGTACCCCATCCACAGTCCGTCCTTCCAGGCTGGTATCCCTCTTGGGCAGCGTGGAGAGCCAGTGCCCCCACTTTTTGCTGTAGCAAGGTAGAGCGTCGCCTGGCTCTGGCTGGGACTCTTCTTTCTGGCCTGGGGACATCAGCTTTGTGTGGGTTCCTACTTTGCCACCCAGGACGCTGAGACAATGCAGCGTGTGTTTCACAGGAGTCAGGCTAGACCTCGTTGGCATGTGGGGTATCAGCCAGCTGACGATAACAGTAATAAAGAACTTGAGTGCTGCAGAAGGATTAAAAGAAGCTTCTCTAATAAATGCAATTACACAAACATGCTTGAGCCATGTGCCCTATTTAATTCCTTCCCAAGAAAAGAGGCATTCCTCAGGGCACTGCTTTTGTCTGAGTGAAAGAGATATCCAAGTGCTTCAGGCATCCTCTCTGAATCCAGAGTGGCTCTTCTGTGCCCTGGGTGGCAACTTATACTTGGTCTTCAGATTCCTCTGAAGAACAGTTATTCCTCCAGGACTGAGTCTTTATTTTTATTTTTTTTGCCAGGCAGTGACTTTATAGCCGGTAGAGCCCTTGCTGCCATCCAGACCTCACAGGCAGCTTTCACTGCTGGCTCTGGCTCCCCACCTGTGTGTCCCGGGGCATTGTGTTTGCCCACATCGGTGCCTCTGCTCTGTGGTGAGGAGCTTTTGGCATACGTCTTGCAATTGGGGATCTTCCAGTAGGCCTTCACCACTTCTGGAGAGTACCTTGACACCAGGAAGGGCACCAGGCTAAACACCGTGACAGGCTGTGATTGTTCTCTTGTCAGGGCAGTTTTAAATCACACCTTTAATGTGTTTTGTTCTCCTCTGCTGGTGAGTGAATTTTCCATCTCTGCCTCTTACATGAACAGGACTCGTGATGGAGAGAACATCTTAACAGTCTGGCCTAGAGCTGCTTGTCGTGACCCCAAGAAATATTCTCTGGAGCTAATGGGTTGGTACCCCAGCTCTGGGAGTTAACTGGAAACACGCAGCAGCCTTCCCAGTGCGGAGGAGGCAGGAGATTAATGCAGATGTATGTGGATGTAAGCAGTGGAGTCCAGATCCATCCGTGGGCTTGCCGGTTCTCAGGCGTGGCTTTGGCTCAACTTCTCCATGAGGCAGCGGTTGGGCAGGTGTCAGGGTGCAGCCCAAGGGCTGGACTGATGGGAGGGGACAACCTGGGAAGGGCAGGGACCCCCCCAGAGGTTGCTTTATGTGGCGTGGGGAGAGCACGTTTGTGCTGCCCCAGGGTCGAGTTGCTCTTAACTAAATAGATGACCAGTGTTAGTGGTCCAGGCAGGTAAAACCTTGAAGGTTTCTCTTTTCTCTCAGAACTCCATCTCCCCCTATTTAAGGGTGTTTAGTCTGAAATCCTCACTCATCTGTAGCAGCTGGGGTTTTAAGAAAACCATTAAATATTCCAAGGTTCCTGTTAAGGGGAAAGGTAAAGGATTAAATGGCCCAGGAAAGCTGTTCTTTCACTTTCCCAGCTCCGTGCCCTTCAGTGCCTACATTCACTGAGGTATCTCGTAAGGTAACTTGTGTACAGAGCAACTGTGCTCTTGCTCGTGGGCACCCAATGTTTAATTCAGTGTGTACTTGTTAAAAATGCAGGTAGCACTTGCTGTGTGTGAACCAGCTCTTGTAAGCGAGGCACCGGCACAGGGTAATGTTACAGACCTGACACAAATGGAGCCCACTGGCTCTTGGCAGTGTCCTGGCTACCTGGAGTGTCCTGCTGGGCTGGCATTGCCCCACTGTCTTCAAAACACTGCCTTTCCACAGTGATGTTTAAGATCCTGAGGAAATGTGGGGCAGAGAGGATGTGCCGTGAGTGGTGATTATCTGGTGCTGTGTGATTGTCTCCTGACCACGTTCATCTCTATCCAGTTGGATCTCATCCTGTGTTTAGATCCAGGCCTGAAGATCTCCCTAGCATCAGTGGGAATATGAAGGCTTGTAGACACCTCAGCAAGGTTAAGGTCTTTTGTAAAATCAGTAGAGTAGAGGTTGTATTTGTGCACACAGCAGCTCGCACCAATAGGTCCCAATCTCCGAGTTTGGTTCAGTGTCCATCTGTGCAGTGTTCCTAAGGGGAATTCACATGCCATCAAGTGCAGCAGTGGTGTTTCAGAACTGTGGCAGGGCAATGGGAAGCCTCTGCCAGCACCTTGGTTTTAGAATTCAAATCAATATTTGGCAGCAAGACTCCATTAGGTAAGGTGGAGGCAAGTAGTGTGAGATTTGTAAACAGACCAAGGGTGAAAATAGGCATTGTTGGGGTGTAAGAGAGAAAACAACTCTTGGAAAGTACATTGGGCTCGTACGGCGCTGGAAGTGCTGGTGGTATGGGGTGAAGTTCCCAGTGGGCTGCCAGTACTCCTTGTGCAGTGGGCAGGCATTGGGGCTGGAGGCAGCTGTCCCTCTGTTCGTCAGCACTCACCTCCCCCAGACACCGCGCTTTGTGCTCCTTCCATCTCCAAGACTGTAAGGATGCGTGTTCCTCCGGCCCTGCCTGGTGGTTGCTATAACGACCATTAATGCAGCTGTTGAGGGCAGGTCCTGGTTTAGCCTTATTTCTATCCACAAGCCAACTGACTTTTGTTTTCTTGCCTTTCAGTCCTTTCAAGGGAGCCAAGGACGAGCATACCTCTTCAATTCAGTGTGAGTATAACTTCATACGTGTCACCTCTGCATCTCTTAGGATAGATGGAAGAAGAACCTCATGAAGAAGAAAACAAAAGGCTAGTCTTCCTTTAGAAAACCTCAGCCTAAGACTTGGGAGCTTTCTGAAAATGGTTGCAGAAAGAGGCAGGAAATAGCACTGATTCATATTTGATTTAGTGTTGAGGTCTCAGATAAGCAGCTAGGACAAGGTGGTTTTTTCGTCATCAGATTGAGAAATAAGAGCTAACAGATGAGTCATTCTCCTCCCAGAGAATGTAGTTGGACCGAAGCATCAGAGTTTCATAAATGATCTCTAAATACAAACTTACTTTTTAGAGCTAGCATAAAAATTAAGTATAATTTTCCCCATAACTGCAAGTAGTTTTGGTGAGATCACTGCTGGCATGTCTTTGAGAAGAACTGCTGATTTCAGTTACATTTTTCAATTTTCTATTTGGGAAAGTAAAAGTACCATTTTATCAATTTGAAAATTAAAATCTTTCTCAAATGCATAATTGGTGCAGTTTACTAGAATGTTATTAATCTTCCGTTCAAAGCTTTATAGAATTTTTAGTTGCATAAAAATTCTATTTTACCTTTTCATTCTGTTCTGGAACTGCAAGAGATTTTTTTAATTTTTTTTTTTTTTTTTTTTTTTTTAGGGAGGGTGGGGCACAGCTGTGGTACTCAGTATCCTTGAACCTCCTGCTTATGTTTTCAAATACTGCAATAAAATTGCTGTCAGCTTCATTGTAGCATCTTGGAAAGACACACTAATAGGGAGCATCTCTCCTTTTTTCCCCAGAGTTAATGTGGGTTGTGGCCCTGCAGAGGAGCGGGTGTTATTAACAGGATTACATGCGGTTGCAGATATTTACTGTGAAAACTGCAAAACCACACTGGGTTGGAAATATGTGAGTATCAGTATCATTTGTTTTTCCTGGGGGGACATCTTTGCTCCAGCCCTCTCTGAAGGTGTATGTATGGTAACGTGGTCTTGTGGAAAAACCATTAACTTGGGAAAATGTGGGTTCTGGCCTGTAGCCACGTCTTTTTTTCTTCCCTGCGTTTCCATTTTCCCTCCTGTCTTGTGCTTGTTGCATGCACTCAGAGCAGGAGCTCTTTGTGGCTAATGTATATTTTACTAAGAATATACACTGCCAGCCTGGTTTTGGTGGGTGTCCCTTAGTGATACTTAACATAAATGAGGATAACTTCAGCCAGTCTTGGTGGTTCACATTGTCTTTTTTCCCCAGACAGTATCTGAATAATAGAATGATCCATATATTGTTAATCCCGTGTCCTTCCCACTGGAAATGCTACTGAACATGGGTTTATCTGTTTGCTGTCTCTTGCTCTTCATAAATTCAATTACCTTCAAATAAAGGCTTATGCTACATCCTAATTTCTGCCTTCAGGAGGCACACAGCGTACTTGTTTGCCAAAACATTTTGACCAGTGTCTAAACAAAACATGTATCTGTGGCCTCTGGACAGAAATATTCTTTAATAAATCAGTTGAAAGGCTATAAAAAGTAAAGCATCAAAAATTGATGCAGTAGAAATTCGTGCAGAAACACAGCGTGGATCTCACAAATGGGGAAGGACACTAAGTACATAAATCGAGTTTATTGTAAAGCAAAACACAAAATTTCATAAACAACAGCAGTAAGCCCAAGGCCTCTCCAGCAATTGCTTGGATTTTTTCAGACGTTTTACGTGCGTGCAAACAGCACAGCCGAGCAAGAGCCGAATGGCTTTTGGGGATGCAGGTCTCAGTAACAGGAGCCCCTCCTGGTTAGGGATCCCGTGGATTTCTTGGCTTCTTCCATCCTGCAGCGCTGAAGCACTGCGTGTCTCTGGAGCTGCAAGCACACGTCCGTGTAGAGTGGGTCCTTCTCATCCCTTGGTGTCCGTTGGCTCCATTTTCACAGAGTTTACCACAATCTGCCTCATTCCCTGTGGTAGTGCTTTCGCAGCATGTTTCGTCAGAGGACCCCTGCGCTCTTAGCAAACAGTAATTAATTCTCAGATCACCCTAGAGAGGGGGGGGGGTGTGTTTATCACCGATGATTCCTAGAGCATAGATCAAGGAAGAGTTGCCGCTGACCTAGGGAAAACTGCACATTGACATGATGCTGATTGTTTTTTTTCCAGCCTGTAAAGACAGCTAGAAACAGGATTTAAGATTCTTCCAACGTAATTTTTCTGAAAGCCAACAGGAGGACCTGCAGTTTGACTGTTTTACTCTGTAGACAAGGCTAAACCGTGCACCATCATTCCCAGATCTGATCTGGAACTGTGACTTTACCATCGAATATCATCTTCATCTCATTCTTTCTCCTTTTTTTTTTTTTTTTTTTTTTTTTAAGGAACACGCTTTTGAAAGCAGCCAGAAGTATAAAGAAGGCAAATACATCATTGAACTAGCTCACATGATCAAGGATAATGGCTGGGATTGAATGGAAAGAGCCCAGCCCTACCAGCGTGTAAGAGAATGCCATCCAACCGAACATTATATCCAAGAGTGAGAGAGTGACTGAACGCTTGGTTCCATGCATTTAGAGGCTCTGCAATTTGGGAGCATCTTCACACCCTTCTCCATCTTTATTGGTGACTGGCCTCTAAATTTCTGTCTCTCTGTCTCTTTGCTTTGTATCTGTTTGTGAGTTGACCCTGGCTGCTTCTCTCTCTGTTCTGGCGTTGGCTAAGAGAATGCACCGAATGCCCGACAGCCATTCCATGTTGACAAATGTTTAAGTACAAACTGAAGTTGGCTCTGTGGTGGCATTTTATCAGAAAGTCTCGGTGCGGGAGGAAGACCCAAGTTTTGGGCAGGAGAAGGTGATAGGGGGTGGGGAGTGGGCCCGAAGGGAAGTCATCAGAAGTTGAAACTGTACTTCTCCTTTAAGTCCTGGTTAACCAAGGCTTGAAACTATCTACTTGTCTAAATGGACAGAAAAATACCTCACGGCTGCGTTCTCTCTGAATTGTAAAACCGCTGCTCCATCGGTGGAGCTTCAGTCTAAGCCGGCTGAGCACAAGTCATAACCAGTTCCCCCCTCAAGCTAATTGCAAATCTGTGTTTTGTTTGCCATTGATGAACTCGTTGTGTGGGGGGGGTGGAGGACCTGAAGGCTGGAGAGATTCCCTGCCTCTCCTTTTTCTTGCTGTTTCAGGGTAGGGAGGCCAAACATCCCAACAGAGCACAGCTGGGGGGAGCATCCTCACAGCTGGAGAAACCAAATCCTGACCCGAGCCCTTCAGAGAGGAGGAGAAGACCACTTACAGCACAAGGGGGCTGGAGCTACATCTTAGAAGACATGACGGGGGGGACAAAAAAGCACGTGCTAGGCAAGGAAGAGGAAATTACGTAGAGGAGGATGGGGACAGACTTAGTAACGCAGGGTACCCCTTGATTTCCTGGCCTCCACTGAGCATCCTTGGGGGCCTTTTACCAATCCTTCCTTCACAAGTGCGAGTAGGAAAATGCTGTTACAGAATCTTTTTATTAAATCCCAGGCCCCAGCCGTCAGCTCTGCTCTTGGAGCCTGGCAGAGAAATGGTGTGAGAGTGGGGAGAGGAGGGAGCAGAGGAGTTGTGGCAGTATTGCACAGGTGGATATTTCAAGCCATGAGGTATCCTCCCCAAAACCTTCCCCCCCCTTTTCCCACTCCCAGAAGCCTGTTGCAGGCACAGGGAGGATGGGAAAGAGAAAAGAAACTAAACATCTTCCCCCTACCCCTGAAATTGTCTATGCCTTGAAGTTTAAAGAGGAGGGGTAGATGTGGGCATCATAACTGCAAGGGACAAGTCCTTCCCATTTTAATTTTTCATTTTAATTAGCGTGGACCTTCCCGAGGTGGTTGGTGGGGAAGGGGCATTGCGTATGGAAGGGGAGCTGAGTTAGACATAAATGACAATGTGAAGTTTGCTCTGCAGCAGTCCAGCCAGTATCTGGTGCATAACTCAAGACTATTTAACTGAATTAGTTTTATCTCTCTGAGTGAATTTTCTTTTTTGTTTGTGGAATTCTTTCAAGTAGGTTAATCCACTGGGGGAAATCTTTCTTAATCCAGAAGGAAAGAGTATTGTGCAGGGGTTTGTAACTCCTTATGAAACGGAAGCTTTGGAGCTGTAATCTGTTGTCGCTCGCCCCCACCCCCAGGAGGCTCGTGGTTAGTGGTGGGGGTCAGGACAGGGCTGGTGGGGAGAAGGTAATTTGCTGTTAAACGAAGGGGATGTGAGCAGGGACATTATTTATGGATCAGGGTGGAACTTCTGTGGTGGGTCCTCGTGCAGAAACCCAAACCTGGTGGCCCCTCCAAGCAAAAGGCTGTTTTTTCTCTTGAACCACTATTCTCTACAACCTTGGAGAGGGAAGTGAGATGGAGGTTGGCCATGGCTCCTGCAGTGGATGGAGTTGGCTGGGTTTGTGCCTGACCCATTAGGAGGTGGCCTCTGCCTTCCCTCGTTCTGCTGTGGCTGTGTAACAGTTGCTTCAGCTTTCATTTCTGATTGTCTCTGCTTCCATCACCCACATTCCCTTCAGTGATAAAAAAACTAGTAGAAATCAAAAAATACTGCAGTACCCACTACCTTGTTGACTTTGGCACTGACCTGGGTCTCATTTTCCTGTCCTTGGGTTGGTGATCCATGACGATTTATTGGGGTTTGACTAGTGGGAAGTAATTTGTGTTCTTTGAAGAGCCCTCCAGTCTCCCCAGATACGTAGCCTTTAAAAGGGTCTGGTTGGAGCTGGGAGAAGTAAGGGATAACCCCAAATCATTAATACGAGCTTGAGAAAGAGAGCGCACAGGGGCTCATGGTTTTATTATGTTGGTTTTTAGAGTGATTGCCTATAAAAAAGCAATATAAAAAGTAAACCTGTCTGAAGGCTGCTCTGAGAAATAACAACAGCTACTACAGAGAGCTACCAGATGTAAATGGTTTTTAATCCATATATTTGGGACAAGAAAGGACGATGAGCCATCAGATCGGGCTGTTTTTAACTGTTCGCAGGGGTTACGCTTTTAATGGCAACCAGTCTAAGCTTGAATACGGCCAGATCTTAATCTGGTTTTAATTGGTTTTGTCCCATCAGCATCCACAGATTTACACTTGCTGAAAATCTGGCCTCAAGCCCTGATAGGAAAAAAAAAAAAACCAACGTGTGCCTGTGAGTGTCCCCAACACCCAGAAAAGTATCTATAGAGTGACTTTAATACACTGTACAGGGAGATGAGGAAAAATGTGCTTGTGAAGCTCGTTGGTGTTTGTTCTCTGCTGTGTGTCCATTAAATATGAAGTACTTAGTCTGCTGCTAACTCATCTGTGACTCGCTGTACCAAGAGACGTGACAGTAGTGGGAGCTGGTGACCAGACAGGATGCTCAGATCTGCGTGCTGGTGGCTACCGCAACCACCGCAGGCTAAATGGATGACGTGTGGAGTGATATATTCAGAGCATAACCAAAGAACCTCGTTATCTGCATCCCTCTGGCCGGGCGAGTTGACTGTAGCCAGTTTGTTACCGCTTGGGGTGAGCAAGGTGGGGCCCTTGTTTCTGAGCTGGAGATGTGGCCCGTGGAAGCAGTGGGCAGGCAGTGCCTGGAGGCTTTCCGTGGGTGACATCCTTGAGAAAACACCAACAGCAGTGAGTTTTTTGGGGTTTTTTTTTGTTGTTGTTTGGTTTTTTTTTTTTTAAATGTGGCAGCCTCGTCTCCGGCAAGCTGCACGCACCCTTGAGTTTACATCACCCCCGTCTACCCCAAAGCTCAGACTTGAGTAAGTTTTAAATTGTTTTGCTCTGGTGGGTAATCTGGTGTGAAATCCTGATCCCTGTAATAAATATTCAGATGATAATATATACAAAGCAGAAAAAAAAAAAAACAACAAAAAAAAAAACCCACAACACATTATCTTGTGAAATATACTTTTGTAAATAATATTTAATTTTTTTAAAAAAATAATATATTTGGTGCTGTTTTCTCAGAGCCCCTCCCTGAGAGCACTTTCTTGTTGTTTATAAATGATACTGTTTCCTTCTGTATTTGTTGGAAAATATGTTTAAAGGGAAACAAAAATCATAATATACGTTGTCCTCTTAAGTCGATCCATTTCTCCTCTGGATGTGGCAGGAGAGGGGAGTCACTCCCGCTTCCCCCCAGCAGAATTGCGCTCCGGTGCGGGTGGGGGCCAGGTTAGGGTCAGCAGCCCGTGCTCGGGGCAGGTCCTGCTGGGGGGGGGACAGGAGGGGGCTCCAGGCCCGCGGGGGGAGCGCTCTGGTGTCGGGGGTTCTGTGCTGGAGCCACCGTCCCCTCGGTGCCGGAGCCCCGGCTCAGCTCCCGCTCCCGTGGTGAGTCCCAACAGAAGCTGGTGGGGCTCCGTCTGGGCACGACATTCCGGAGGAGATCTGGTTTGTAGGATCCGGGCCTGAAATTTTCTCTTGCACCAGTATTGGCTGGAGTGAAGTAGATATCGAGACTTAGAAAACAGGATTGAATATGAGCTGCAACCTCCGAGTCGCTGTTTCCCGTTGCCTGGGGGCAGCAGGGGTGGAGGATGGAGGTTGCTAACTAGTCATTGTTTTTAAACTAGAACATAAGTCTTTGGACATGGATCCTGGTTTTCTTTTTGAGTTTTTTTGTTGTTGTTTGTTTTGTTGTTTGTTTTGTTTGTCTTTTTTTTTTTTTTTTTAAACCAGGCTGCTACATAACAAATTAGAGTAAAAGTTTACCTCTCTGGCAGTAAAGTTGGGGTTTTTTTTATGTTTTCCTTTCTGTCTTTAACTTCACCCCTTCTCCCCCTTCTTCATTTTTAATTCATTGGGTCTCTTGTTTATCCCAAAGTGGACCAACAGCACAAACCACTGGACTGTGTTTGGCTGAGCAAGGAGCTGTTTTCAGTGAGGAATAACTGTTGCACGCTCTTTAATTCTCTGTTTTTTGGTGCACACGATTTAAAGATATACAGATTAAACAAAAACCCTAGGAATGAAATCTGTTGTTCTTGTGATGGTCAAGTGAGAATTTTCTCTGTATGCATTTTTCTAACTGGTATGTGAGAGTGTGTTAATCATGCATTTCACTGCACTTCCTTTTTTTTGGGAGGAGCATCATGTTTCCGTGTGAACCAGTGCTTGGATGAAGAGATGACACCCAGACACCCGGTTGGGTAAACGGATTGGTGAGAATCAGAGCTCAGCTCAGTGGGAAGGAGCTCTTCTCACCAGGTGAGAGGCCTCAGAAATTAAATGCTCAGAAAAAAAAAAACAAAAACGTTAGACATAGATTTTGCAGAATCCTGTTTAAAAAGAATAAGCAGAGGAGGGGAAACAAAATCATCTTGAATTCAGAAAAAATAAAAAATAAATCAACGTATTTAAATGCAAGCAGAATGGCATTGTGTAAGGTACAACCACAAATAAGCTATTCTCATAGTTACAAACTGCATGTATCCTTGGTTTTGTTTTTCATAAGGAAATGGGAATGCTTTCCCCACTGACAAAACTAAAGGACAATATTTCCGATACCAGCCTGTCAATTGATGCTCTTGTGTTTACAAATTGTGTATACTTTTCTTTCTTTGATCTTATTTTAATTTTGTTTTTTTTGGGGGCATATTCTTTCAGGTCATTTGCTTCAGTAATAAATGCAATTGTTTGTTTTCAAATAATTGGTTTTCACCTTTTCATGTATTTGTACATTGTATATAGTTCTTCAGTATTAGAGGGAGGCGTATTGTTTGTCATATTTACAATATGTGTTGGTGCTCATTTGAGAAAATAAAATTTTCCAAGTACTAAAGCTGCCGGTCTGTGTTCTGTTTTAATCTCCTTTGTGCAAACCGAAGGCAGTAAAATTTGGTTGTTCGATAAATGTTATATTTAGCTTGAAAATAATCAAATTATCCTCTATTCCTGATTACCTGCCAGTCCGGAGCAGTCACCTGATGTGCACTTGAATCACTTCAGCACTTAAGAGCCTGTCGGCACGAGCAGGGATCGCATCGGGCAGAGCAGAAAGATGATCCGGAGCCCCTGAAGTCTGGGATTTAGTATAAGAGGAAACCACAAATGCACCAGGAGACAGTGCTGGCGCCTGGCACCGTCCTACCACAACCCAGTGCCTTTCCCTAAACCAGCCCAGAGGGAACCACGTGATTTGCTCCATGAGGAATTACACAGTTTTAAGGTATTCTTCAAGCAGCAACAATAATAAGAAACCCATGAAATAAAAATCCCCTGATTCTCGTTAAATCATTTCCCATGGCTGAAGGGTTTTGTCAGCACCGTTACGTAGCTTTGCCTGCCAACGGTAGAATGGATCAAAACATTCCCAGTGGCCGGAAAATCACCCCTGGGGGTTGGAAGTTTTGATTTGTCGGTAGAATTCACGGCGTAGCTCCGTGTCTTGTCAAGTTGTATCGTGGTGACTGTAGGAGATACCTGTGGGTCACAGTTAAGCCAAAGCATTGGTAAAGTTGTCTGATGGGGGTATTAGTTGTCTGATGGGGGTATTTGCAAGTCAAATGTCCCGTTTCAGAAGTTCAGCAAAGGAGATTTTCCTGGGTTTGATCCACACTAGTCCCGAAGCAAAGAAAATCCGTGTGTTGGAAGGAAAGAGGGCACGTAGGGAGAGGGTGATCCTTCGGTACTGAAATACAGAGCAATTCCTTTGAATAATGGAGGGAGCTTGTCCATCTCGGATACCCGCTGTGACATTTTTACGAATCATTTTTGCTAGCTGCAGCTGCAGCCTGCCACTGCTCATCTCATCTGGCGCCGTTCACTTAAACGCCAGAATTGCTTCTCTGCTCCCAGGTGAGCGGGGTACAACATTTCCAATTCCCGGTGCCTTCAGCTCGAAAATCCATTTGAAACCGCGGTCGGACTGAAAGCAGTGCTTTATTTGAGGTGGTTTTGGATGAGCTGATGCAATCCCTCTTCATCCCACTGCTACAGACGGCCGGGACTGTCCCTGTGCCCCGTGTCTGGCAGTTCTCCGTCCCACCACGCGCCAGCTGAGCGTCCTTAATTCCCCACGTGTCCAGAAAAAGCAATTTTGGAGAGGACCCGCTCGTGCCAGCTGCTAAATGCCCGGAACTCAAAGTGGAGCTCGGGCCGTGGCGAGAAAAGCTCCACCTGAAAGGTGGGAGGCGAGGAGGAGCTGGGAGGTTCATGGGAGGTGGGTGAGGAGCCAAGAAACACACGACTACAAACCGACGTCCCGCGCGCGCCCGTAGCGTGGGTGAGCGGGTTCAGCCGCTGGAACAGCCGATACAATTAATTGCTTGCCCAATGGGCTCAAGGCAATTTGAGTTCTTGGTTTCGCCAAAACTTTTTAATTCGCCACCACTGGTGCCGTGCCTGCGTGTGCCGTGCTGGGTGTGTGCGCCGGGGGCTGCCCTGGCATCCGCAGGAGACGGGAGGATGAGCCGTGCGCTGCCTCCGGTCTCGGGGGTGATGGCAGCTCCAAAAAGCGTGAGGCTGGTCCTTCGGGCACGCTGTGGTGCCTGGAGATGAGCACGGTCTGGTGCAGCTCCTCGTTCCTACAAACCCCCAGAGCTGCACGAGGTGAACGGCTCAGAAAGCCCCAGAGGTTTTAACCCCGTTTCCACCTCGTGTTGTCAAGACAAGCAGTTACCCCTGGGAAGGGCAGCGCCGTGTCCCGTGGCCATGCATGTGTGCGCAAGAGGAGGGATTTGGTTTCCACCACAGTCAGCTGTTTCCAAGGGGCAGCGGGTGCCTCGGGGCGCGGCCGGTGACCGCCGGGTCGAAGCCCGACGCGGCCGTCCTGGCCCCGGGGCCACCTGCCCCTGCTGCCGCCGTAGCCCAGAACAGCCGGGCATGGAGTGACCGGGGCTCCGGCCCTTTTTATTGACTCTAATTCTATTACTTGACTTAGGGAGGAAAACAGAAATAGTTTTGTCTTGTTTTCCCACCTTTCCCCTGAAATCTGCTGCTGGGGCGGGAGGGTGCGAGCCTGGGCGCAGCAGAAACCCCTGGCAGGACGGGGAGGGGACTGTGGATGGGGCAGCTGCTGGCCGCTCCTCTCCAGTGGGAACGTTTCCTATTTACCGGCCGAACTGTGTGTGTCGGCCGTGGCACCCGGCCAGCCCGG